CGGCAGTTGACGACTGGCTCTTTGGAGCGAGTTTCGCCGAGGATCTGAGATCGGCTCAAGCCTGTGCACGAGTCGGCTGCGATCTGACGAAACCCGCCTCACTGCCGGCTCCCAGGCCTCCGTCACTATCTGCGCGTCAACCAGCAGCCTCTCGTCCAGGAAGTTCGGGAAACTTCCGGGCCCCTGTCCAATGTCCAGTATCTTCGGCTCGCCAGTCAGGGGCTCAACAGAAGCCGAGCCGCACGCGCCAAATACGCCCACGCCCTCGATCCCGAACTCGTCATTAAGTCACGTAAGATCTGCAGGGCGTCTCGCCCATTACTTTCTACTTGGGAAAAGATAAGATCCCGAGGTGCTCGAGGCAATTGTTGGATATCATATCCTCTTTTCGTTGCCTCCACAGCCCCATCCTTTCTTAAGGGAAACCTTCCTTGTCTCAGGACAGTGCAGATGCCTGTAACAAGGAGATCGCGCGTTTGCTCGCTAAAGGAGCCATAGTAGCCACCATTCCTTCGGATGATCAATTTTTATCATCCTTTTTCCTTGTTAGGAAGGGTTCAGGAGATAGGCATTTTATAAGGATAGCAACCTTTGACTTTGAGAGACTGTCAGCTTGTACCACCAGGTACAAGTAACAATGCCTCTCTCTGTAGTCGCCGTGCGCTCGGGATAGCACTAGAGATGTCGCTTCCGAACGACATCTCTCAACGTTATCTGGGGAAGGGAGAGTGTCGTGAGCGTAGAGCGTCAGATAGCTCAGTGGTCTAGAGCAGTCGCCCGGCAAGCGAAAGACCCGGGTTCGATTCCCGGTCTAGCGACTACCGCGCTCTCGATATTTTTCTCTCCTCGGAACGAAAAATGAGATGCAGGTCCCGAACGCACGGCGTCCCGTCGCCACCTAGTACGCCCTCCTTCTTTCATGGTGGATTCCCCTTCGGCGCGTTGCAAAACGTGTCCAAGCGCCCGGGGGCAGCCAAAATATGGCGTCGACCCCGGGGCTTATTTCTATTATTTGCACCGGATAAGGAGGGGCAACGGTGGAGGCCGGCATACATGGACAGCAGGTCTTAAAAGGATAGCAACCTTTGACTTTGAGAGACTGTCAGCTTGTACCACTAGGTACAAGTAACAATGCCTCTCTCTGTAGTCGCCGTGCGCTCGGGATAACACTAGAGATGTCGCTTCCGAACGACATCTCTCAACGTTATCTGGGGAGGGGAGAGTGTCGTGAGCGTGGAGCGTCAGATAGCTCAGTGGTCAGGTCGCCCGGCAAGCGAAAGACCCGGGTTCGATTCCCGGTCTAGCGACTACCGCGCTCTCGATATTTTTGGCTTTCACCATGAAAGAAGGAGGGCGTACTAGGTGGCGACGGGACGCCGTGCGTTCGGGACCTGCATCTCATTTTTCGTTCCGAGGAGAGAAAAATATCGAGAGCGCGGTAGTCGCTACCGCCTCGACCGGGAATCGAACCCGGGTCTTTCGCTTGCCGGGCGACTGCTCTAGACCACTGAGCTATCTGACGCTCCACGACACTCCCCTCTCCCCAGATAACGTTGAGAGGCCATTTTATTCTTAATCTTAAGGACCTGAACCAATACTTATCTCCACCGCATTTCCAGCTAGAAGACGCGCACTGTGCTTCACTTGATGACTCCGGGCACGTGGATGACAACTCTTGACATTGAGGACGCGTATCTACTCGTTCCCATTTCTCCTGGCTATCGCAAATATCTTCGTTTCCAGTGGAGAGGCACAGTGTACGAATTCACTGCATTGCCTTTCGGTCTTTCCACAGCGCCGTACATCTTTACTAAGATTATTTGTCCGGCAGTGACGCATTTACAACGCCAGGGTTTCTCTTCAGTCGTATACTTAGATGATTTCCTATTTTTTGGTTTATCCCGAACCGATTGCCTACGAAATCTGACAGCCTCTCTCCGCCTCTTATCTGAACTTGGGTTTCTCTTCAATGTTTCAAAATCACGACTTCATCCCTCTCAAACATGCAAATATCTGGGCTTTGTTTTCAACTCTGTCCAGCAATCCATCGCATTTCCTCCGAATCGTCTCCAGAAGTTATTCAAATTTTTACATACCTTCTTAGACAAATCTTCCTGCCGGATTAGAATTTTCGCACGGCTTATTGGATCTCTTATCTCAGTTTGCCCTGCGGTCTCTTTTGGTCTGCTCTATACTAAGGCCTTTGAACGCGTAAAGTTTCTTGCCTTACGAAGATCCAATGGCAACTACGCAGCCTGTATGAACATTCCCTCCCATCTATCTTCTGATCTTCATTGCTGGTTAAACATCTTTTCCGATTTCCGGCAGTCTCATGTCATTCGCTCCGGTGAACTCGCTCGCGAGATTTTCTCGGATGCTTCATTATCGGGTTGGGGGGCTTTCTGCGGTACACATCATACCCACGGATGGTGGTCTGCCGAGGATAGGGGGCATCACATTAATTTTTTAGAGCCTAAAGCGGTTTTCTATGCCCTTAAATGTTTTGCTGCCGATCTCCGCGATTGCAACATTCTTCTTCGCGTAGACAATACAACCGCAATTTCTTATGTCTCGTCGTTTCGGATCTGTTCAGCATCCTACTTTATCTGCCATGGCAAGACAAATTTGGAGTTGGTGTGAACATCGTAATATTTTTATTTTCGCCTCCTATATCGTCTCTATCGAAAACACTATTGCAGACGCCGAATCTCGTACTGTTAGTATTGAAACTGAATGGTCCTTATTACAGGAGGCGTTCTCAAGAATATCATCTGCTCTCGGCCCTTTTCAAATAGATCTTTTCGCATCTACTATTAACGCGAAATGTGAGGCATACATATCCTGATTCCCCGATCCGGGCTCTATAACCGTAGACGCTTTTACCTTTTCGTGGGCCCATCTTAATTTTTTTGCTTTCCCCCCCTTTATATTACTGCCTCGCGTCCTCCGGAAAACCTTAAATGACAGAGCAGAGGGAATAGTGGTGCCGTGGTGGCCCTCCCAGGCCTGGTTCCCTCTTTTTTGTCAACTTCTAATTGGCGACCCCATCATTCTCTCACCATCTTACGATTTGCTTTCTTCCCCATTCAGGAATTGTCATCCAGCGTGGCGGACTCTGTCCCTAGCGGCGGGAATATTATCAGGCAGGCGTTCATCCACCGCGGAGTCCCTATAGGGGCACTAGAGGCCATTTTGGCATCCTTGGCTTCTTCCACGCTTCGTCAGTACTCCAAGCCCCTCCAATCCTGGTGGCCGAGCTTCGACGATATCTACGTTCTCGCCAACACCTACGCAGTTCCTGGACTTTCTCGCGCGAGAATTGGAGAAAAATTCATACTCTTCTCTCATTAATACCCACTCGGCTACATCGTTAATTACCAGCAATAATATTGGTAGTCATCCGCTTATCAAACGATTTTATAAACGTGGGAGCTCTTAAGCCCCTCGTTCTCATTACGAGTACATTTGGGACCCGGCGCCTGTTATAGATAAGCTTGCTACTTTCTATCCGTACGATTCCCTCTCGTTAGCGACGATAACCAAAAAACTCGTAGTGCTCCTCGCACTTGGCACCGGTCAATGCGTCCAGACTCTGGCAGCGATCAAAGTCTCTCAAATTTTGTTAGCAGATCAGCTGCTCATTCGTATTCCTGAGCGCCTCAAAACTTCAGCGCCGGGGCACCCTCAGCCCTTCTTTTCTTTTTCTCCCTTCGTGGACCACGACAATCTCTGTCTTTACCGTTTGATGTCGCATTATTTAAACGTTACGCAACATCTTCGCGCGCCATCTTGCGATACTCTGTTCGTTGCCTATCGTAAACCTCACAGAGCAGTAGGTCCGCAAACTATTAATCGCTGGATCCGTTCATGTCTTTCGGAATGCGGCATCCGGACGGATATTTTTTCGGCGCATAGTACTCGACACGCATCGACATCCTTTGCAGCTCATCACGGTGTCTCTCTCGATATATTAAAACGAGCAGCGGGCTGGTCCGGTCATTCTCGCGTTTTCGTGCAATTTTATAATCGCCCTATGGTTAATCCCGAACAATTTAGCGATTCTCTATTACGTCGAGCTTAATATTTATCACAAAGTTCGCTCCTTCGCCTTGTGTGGCCTTATTTACTGCGTAGGTTGCCTTCATATCAGATAGCGTATACCATATTTTATTTTATTTAACAGTCGGCGATAACGTCCTTCGACTCAGGTTCTCTTAAGTAAGAAAGGTCAAAAAAAAAACGTAACCACAAATATCTCGCAAAGCAGTTCCTTCTTTGCTACGACGAGCAAATCGCCTTCTGAACATCTACATTGTCCATCCGGAACGAGACCAAAGGCATAATTATAAAATCAAACGAACTCACCGAGTGAAGTTCGATTTGAATTATGCCTGGTGTCTCGTCCGGATGGACCATTCCCACCCGCAGCTACGACTGCTCCCCTCCCCTTCCTTAACTGTGGTGGGCGATTCGCTGTTCTCAAACAATGAGGTTAGTAACCGCCACAGAGCGCCACTAGCGCACAGAGCGGCAGGCGTCAGGCGCGCGCCTTTCTTCCGCTTTTGGCGGTTATTCTGAACATGTTGGTCAACGCGTGCATAGAAGCACTACTACATTGTCCATCCGGACGAGACACCAGGCATAATTCAAATCGAACTTCACTCGGTGAGTTCGTTTGATTTTATAATGTTTTGAATGAACAAACGTGTGTGATAATTTCGGATTTCCTTTCATCTTCATCCAGCAGTGATGAAGATGAGTATTTTCTTCGAAATCCGAGGCGAATTGTTCCTAAAATGAAAAACTTTTTGCAAATAGTACATCAATATTCCGATCACGACGTAAGTTTATTGTTATAATTTAGCTTGTGAAAATAAAAGTAGAAAGTAATTTTTATTTTTGTTGTAGTTCAAATCCCATTTTCGAGTTTCGAGGGCAATAGCATATGATATTATAAATAATTTCGAAAATTCGACGTTCTATTCTGGTGATATTACAAGCCACGGAGGTATTAAACCGTCCTCTGCTGAATCACACGTTTTATCTTTTTTGTGGTAAGTTTTACATGTACATGTATAGTTTTTAATTCATCCACCACTCATATTATATATATATATATATCATCACATATATATATGATATATATATATATAATATTAAAAAGATTTCAAAAAATATTACTTTGTATAGATTTGCAGGAAATAAAGTGTGCTTAAGAGATGTTGCACAAAGATTTGGAGTATGCGCTGCAACGATTTTTCAACAAAATAATAGAATGATGGATTTTCTATGCGATATAGCTGGAAACGTCATCAAATTTTCTAACAAAGAAAATACTGCAAACGAATTCCTTCAAGTATGTACATCTAATTAATGTATTTTAATGAAGCTAAAGCTAGCAGCCGATTCATAGCTTAATTATGAAAGCAGTAGTTTTTAATTATTATTTAATAAATGTCAATTTCTTGTTAATTAATTATTTAATGCTAAAAATTTTTCTATTATTCTTTAGTTCTAAACAGTGCTTGTGCGAATTTGCTACTAGCTTCAGCTTTATTGTATTTTATGTATGTTTTTCTAATGAGTTATTTAATGTATATGTATATAAAATTGAAGATTGCAGGATTTCCGAAAGTTCTTGGCTGCATTGATGGGACTTTCATTAAAGTCCGAACGTCAGCCCACAAAATAAAATCGACATATGTAAATAGACATGACATCCCTTCGATAACATTGCAGGGCATATGTGATGCTCGAAAGAGATTTATAGATATATTTACAGGTATCCCGTCGAAAATTCACGATGCGCACGTATTCAAATTATCAGATATATGCGACGAGTTGCCAGGAATATGTGAAGGCGGAAAATATCACTTCCTAGGCGATGGAGCGTATTCAATAAGAGAATGGCTTATTATATCATTTAAAGACTACGGAAATCTGTCTGCAAAGGAGAAACAATTTAATAAAATGCTGTCTGCGACTCGAGTATTGATCGAGAATGCGTTTGGACTGTTGAAAGGTCGTTTTCGACAATTAATCGAAGTAAATCTATTGTTGATAAAATATCAAAATTTATTATATCATGTTGCGTTTTGCATAACTTATGCATAGACAACAACGATAACTTTGATGTCGATGTTGTTATAGAAAACAATGAAGATTATAATAATGAAGGCAGAGGTCAACAAGAAGCTCTATTACGAAGATTAGGGGAAATAAAAAGAAACCAATTGATGAATGTACTTTTTCCATGAAATAAAAATCAATATAATATGAAATTATCAAACGTTTATTTGTCCTGTGGCAAATAAGTACATATTTTCCGATAAAAAACAAAACGTATAAAAACAAAACGTATTTTTTTTATAACACGTACATATTGATTATTTTTTCAAAATTCATATATTATATCTCTTATTTATTTCATAAACATGTAATTTTTTAACATACACGCTTCTTCAAAAAGTTTGATTGTTTGTAAAATTAAATAACATTGTTTTAAAATTAAATAACACAATAAGTTTACTTTATACTGGTTCATACTTAATAGTCTGAGCAGTACTATATCTTTCGTAAAGAAAAATATGCATACGCTAATATTAAAAACCACTAATATTAAAAACAAAGACATACAATTAGTAAACGTACAAAATTATAAGAGAAAAAAAATAATTAAAATCATACATCACATCCAACGTTTTAGTTAGAAACTTTCATATTAACATATGGTTCAGGCTGATTTTACATTAGTCTTTCTTTGGTTTTTCTAATACTTGCTTGTTTCTGTATCATCTTACTTTAGTTCCCGCTACTTTTGTTTGGCAAACAACTCCCGTATTAAATTCAACTTTTCTTGGTGACGTTTTTCTTTTGCCACTTCTTTATTTTTCCAGTATTCCATCCTTTTATCAGTATCACTTGGTTTCGATTTTTTTGTCTTCGGTGGTATGCTATCAGTAGAATGTGTAGAGGCACTATCATTACAGATTTCTTCCGACATTCTTGTATTCAATTTAGGATATTTAACGCTCCTTGCATTTCGCAACACCTCGGGCTCAATACTATCGTCCGAATGAGCAATTTTACGCAATTCTTCTTCGAATGGTACATCCTCTCTAGAGCTGCCTGATTTAGAATTGTTCTCAACTGCTTTTTTTTCCTTTTGAGAACGGTTTTATACCGATTTTCAACTTGAAGAGGAGTTTTTGATACGTCCAACATCGTCAGCATGTCTTTTGAAATTTGCGCCAACATCAATTTTTTAGTTTTTAATTTTTTCATGGGACCAATATCCGACATATATGTTTCATATTTATCGAGAAGAAACGATATTCCTGAATTGCTCCAGTAATCTGAAAATCACGTTGTTTAATGATTAATACAGTAGTCTACATTATAGCACCAGTAAACCTATTAGTAGGTATTACAATAATGTAAAAATTTTGTGAAGTCAAAGATTTTAAAAAATCTTTTATATTTTATATTATTCTGCCGCGAAACACGCGAATTTTTGGACCAGCGTTTCCCGGACAGGTGGATGGGTCGAGGTGGTCCCGTTATTTGGCCGGCACGATCGCCAGATTTGAATGTGCTCGTTTACTTTGTTTGGGGCCATATTAAATCTAAAATCGAGCATAGGCGTGATGGTACCAGAGATGAGGTACGCGATGCAATTATAGCGGCCTTTCGTACCATCACGCCGGACATGGCGCATCGTGCGACGCGACAAATAACTCGAAGAGCCGAACTCTGTTTGCAAGCAGAAGGAGGGCACTTCGAACAATTATTGAATTAAATAATAAGAGTGGATTAGGCCTACTGGGGAAACCACTTAAAAATAAAACGCGCCAAGCTATCTACCTCACAAGGTGGTGTGGAAATGATAGTTTTTGTACTACCCTGAAATAAAATAAATAAAATAATTGCCCTTTCGGAAGCTTATTATTTATCGCATCGGATTTTCTTGTCATTTCTTACTTTAGGAATTGTGAATTAACGATTGATTCTTTATGTTCTCCTTCGGTAAGTATCTTATTAAAAAATTAGGGAGATGCGTGAAATATTTAACTATAAAATGTTTTTTTTGCACGATTCAACGACAAGAAACCTGTAAAGAAAGCGTCAATCAATCATACATTTATGCGTGTCAAAATAATACACTCGGATTTGCGTTGTACCGTGATTATACCTGAGGTAGGAATCAATTTTATGCCGAGTATCGTTGGTGCACCATTGACAACGATGGTCCTCTTTTCGCAATTGTACGATACAGAACTTTCAGTTTCTTCTGTCGTTAATATACCAGTGACAAGAATTACGATATAAGACAACAATTTATGCATGATATATGATAAAAATGTTTGGTCCATGATACAGCTTGCAAATGAAATATGAACGATACAGAAAAATATTAACTGAAAATATTAACACTGAGTCTAATTCATCAAGGTTTATGGTTAACTTAAACAAAATTGTGCTATTCTCAATCAAAATTTCTTAATCGTTCTCTCTCTCTCTCTCTCTCTCTCTCTCTCTCTCTCTCATTTCGTCAGAAAATTGGTTCATTCAACCAAACATATTTTCCGTGTAGACTTGAATAAAACGATAGGACACGATGAGTCTCTACGCGAATTCATACTCTAACAATATCTAACGATATCATACTCTAACAATTAAATATTCTCCTAACGATAGAGTACAATAGAGTACGATGAAAAGTGTTCATCGTACTCTGTCTTTACGTGATATCATTTCTTTCGGATCCGATGCAGCAAAACGATAGATTGCGATAGAAAACAATGAGAATTTCTGTAGATCTCATCGCTCTCTATCGCTTTCTCCTTTTCGATGTTTTCCTTGATCAAAGAACTTTTGAACCTTGAACTTTACAATTCAATATGAGCTGTCTGTAGTACCTCATAAAATAATTTCGTAATTGTAATCGCGAATATTCAGCGGCCATTTCGGCGCTAGCATAGACGCGGTGCGACGGGATGTAGGAGCGGCGAGGTAAGGACATAAACATTGGCGCGTTGTCCTTCCCCTCGCCGCGCGCCGGCAACAGTTCCTTTGTAGACTGGGCAGTGCTCTCTAGCCTGAGCGGCTAGATGCTCCTCCCATAACGTTTCGGTGCGCGCTCATTCCTCTAATTTCTGTCATTAATAACTCGATAATTATTGCGAATCTCACAAAACGGTATGGGACTTTTATATTTGTCTTAACCCGCTCTATGTCTCCACGAGCTCTGCCAGATTAGTTATGAGACACCCTGTATATATATATATATATATATATGATCAAGCCATTTACTATAATATATAAACACCAGCAGCTTCTCTTTGCTAGGCCCATTATCACATCTTGATTAAGGATCACTTTTATTTTGATATCCTTATAACCACCGCGATCTTGCCTCCATTTCCTGGATCAACCATCAATCTTGCTTTCGTTTGTCAGATTATCCGCCGATCTTACCTTAGTTGGCTAGACCTCTTATCATAAAAACCTCGATAACCTTGAAACGACTGACCCAAAGTGAATATAATTATAGTATTTTGAAAGGGTCTGAATAAAAGGACTATAAGGATATGCAATAAAAGATGTAGGATTACATATAAAAAATTCGAGGTAATTTTCACCTTTTTTTTTTGTGACGAGGAGGAAATCCATCATGGATACCCTGACCCTCGGGGAAGGGTCAGGGTTATGCCGGATTCTTACCGGCTAAAACCTCCCCGGGTGGCGCTGCGAAGGGACTTGGATCGATGCCCCGGAGCCTACGTAACTGCTATCGAGGCCCCGAGTCCGGATAGACGTATCGTCTGTCCCCGAGGGGTGGAGCGAGGAGGGGGAGAGGCGAGCCTAGACTCTCCTCAATCGTCTCTCCCCAGGAAGGAAAGGGGAGGCGAGCCGAAGCTCATCTCAACCAACCGTTCCTCCCTTTCCACCCCTCACGCCCCACCTTTGTGACTGGGAAAGAAAGGGGGAAAGCCGGCAACGCCTGCGCTTCACCCCCAGTTCCCAATCAGGCGGGGCGCCGCCAAAGTACCGTTGTGTGGCTGACTGACCCACCGTATCTGCCAGCCACATTACGTTGGGAGGGTTGGTTGGGACACCGGGAGTCCCCGCCCGGTGCCCCATCCTCCCGCCCGGCGGTTACGGGGGAAAAATCTTATCCCCTAGCCGCCGGGCATCTTTCTGCCTATGTATAGACAAAGGAGGGGGCTAGCCCCCTCCCTTCCTACTCACACTTGTTAGTATGGGTCCCGAGAGGCAAAGGAGAGAAGAGGTAGTGTTTCGACCAACTGGTCGATTCCCCCCTCGTCCTCATCCAATCCCTGTTCTCGGGATCGGTGGGCGGTTGGGTTGCAGCTCGTCACCGCGTCCCAATCCTTTCTTTCCTGCCGCCGCCCTTAGTGTGGCGGATGCCATGGCACTCACAGCCACCACCTGGCCTACATTTGTTCCCCCTCTCCCCTGTTTTGCCCTTCGAGGTGGCATTACACGGGTGGGGGGAGGGTCCTTCCGTGGGGTGGTGGGGTTTGATTAGGTTTGGGAGAGGGAGGGGAAGGAATAGGGCGTGGGGGAAGGAGTGAGAAGGGAGGGGGAGGGAGAAGGGGTTTTGTGGGTATTGGTGGTGGGAGTACCCCCACCATTCTCCTGACTGCCTCCTCCTCCGAGGAGTCTACGTCACCTTCCCTACTTGGGGAGCGGTGCCTGACTCGGCGACACTGTCGCCTCCTCTGCGCCCTCCCCCTTCCTTCAGCCTGTCGGCGGAATTCCTCCGCCTCCTCCTTTTGCCCCATCACGTTTTCGCAGAAGCGTGTGACAGTGTCCCACTTTTTCTCACTCCCTAGCATCGCGTTTACGACACTGGAGAGAGAGAGGTCGGGACCCACCTCTCTGACCACGACTCCGCACTCCACTGCCCATGCCGGGCAGTCTTTGAGGGTGTGTTGCGCGGAGTCGTGGTCAGCATTGCAGTGGTAACACTGCGTCGTGCGCTCTTTTCCTATACGACACAGGTACTCACCAAAGCAGCCATGACCGGTGAGCACCTGTGTCATTCTAAATGTCAGGGTCCCCGTCTTTCTGCCCGCCCATTCGGCCAGGCAGGGTCGGACGGCCTCGACGCTCCTTTTCCCGTATCTCGTGTTGCGCAGGCGCCTCTCCCAGCGCTGGAAAAGGAGCTGTCGATCCTGGTGCTTTGAACGCTTCAGCGTCCCAGCGAGCGATTCCCCAGCCCCCAAGTTCCTCCGGAGCTCCTTTTTCCTCCTGTATGCATTTCCGTACATGAGTGCAAGGAGCTCCAGAGGGGGCATGCCCGCTAGGGCCGTCGCCGCCACGTGGGATACGGTCCGGTATGCCCGTATGACCCTGACCGCCACCGTCCTCTGCACTCTGCGTAGAATCGCGCAGAGCGGACGGCTGGCGGCCAGAGTTTCCGCCCAGATGGGCGCACCATAAAGTGCGACCGAATTTATGATCCCAGCGTGGAGACGACGCGCCTTCATGTCGGACCCCCCGATATTGGGCATAATCTTGCCCAAATTTGCCGAAATGATCTTTAATCGGGGGGCCAGGCGGCTGAAGTGCTCCTTAAAGCACTCTTAAAGGTGCCGTCCAATATGAGGCCCAAATATTTCATTTGGGCCTCGACGGGAACTCTGACCCTTCCTATTCGCAGATGGACCTGGGGTGGCTTCATGCCTTTCCGATGGACAAAAATCGCCTCGGTTTTCTTCTCCGCCACCGTCAGGCCCACCTCGCGGATTGAGCGCACGACGCAGTGTACTGCAAAGTTCGCGGCTTTCACCGCTTCCCCCCAGTCTTTTCCCCCGGTCAGCACCAGTGTGTCGTCTGCATAGCAGATGATATCGCTGCCGGGGGGGAGGGCAGTTCGGAGGACTTGGTCATATCCGAGGTTCCACAGGAGCAGGCCCAAAACGGACCCCTATGGAACCCCGCAACTCATCCCCCTCTCTTGCGTCCCGCCATCGGCGTCCATCCAAGTTAGACGCCGATCCCGGAAATAATCCTCGATAACGGCTATGAGGTAGCGTGGGAATTGGAAGTGATCTCCCATTTCTCTCACCACGCTACCCCGGGCAGGGTGTTGAAGGCGTTTGCTATGTCCAGTGATACAGCCACCGCCACCCTGCCCTCCATCACGATGGCCTCCGAGAGGGTTCTCAGATGTTCGATCGCATCTATGGTCGATCTACCCTCTCGGAAGCCATATTGGCCGTCATCGAGGCTCGGACCTACCCGGGCCATATGCTCCGTGAGGCGGGCAGCTATGATCCTTTCGAAGACCTTGCCCGCTTCATCCAGGAGACATATGGGGCGGTACGCGGAGGGGGAGTCTCCGGTTTGCCCTCTTTTTGGAAGAGGACCACGTTGGCCCTCCCCCAGACTGGAGGGAATTTTCCCTCCTTAAAGGCGGCCGTGAAAATCTCGGCCAGCCTGCCCGCAATAAACCCCGAGGATAGGGTGAGTACACGGCCAGGTATGCCATCAGGACCTGAAGCCTTTCTGCTCTTAACCTTCCTGATGGCCCCGGCCACCTCCTCTACAGTAACCCCCGGAACCCCCTGTTCCGGGGGTTACTGTACGAAACTCCCTGTTGGTCTGGGGAGGGAGCAATGTATGGGCCTATGGGGGATATTCCATTCCCCAACGGGAATAGGGACCCGCTCCAGGAACCGGGGGTCCAGCGTTTCCGTAAGCGGGGGCGTCCATGGCCTCAACTTCTGCATGGCAATTTTGTATGGACGCTCCCACGGATCCGCGTCTAATGTCCGGAGGAGGATGTCTCACCCTTGACCCTTGGCCGCCCTAATGGCTTTGCGCAATGCGCGTGCAGCCAGACAGAACTCTATACGGGCGGCCTTGGTCTCCTCGGGTGTTTTTCCATTATTGCGGGCTCTCCTATAGACCCGCCTGAGGTGGACCGACTTTCGCCTCAACTCCGCGATCTCGTCGGTCCACCACCAGGTGGGTCTTTTGGGGCAGGACTTCACTTTAAGCATCGCCTGATCGCATGCCTGTGCGATCAGACCCATTATTTCGGCTATCGCCGAGTTGAGGTCCTGCCCCTCCTTCCACCGTGGCCAGGTGGTCGCCTCAAGGATTGTTTCCAGTGTTTCCTTGTTCAACTGGCTTAGGGCCCATCTGGCTGATCGGGGATCCCTGTTGAGTCTCGGCCGTGGTAGACCGTTGGGGGTGACGGAGAGTTCCATTTCAATAATTAGATGGTCCGATAAGGACTCCAAATCCTCCGCCACCCTCCAGGCCTGCACCCTTCCATAGGCCGCAGGGGTCGCCCATGTGAGATCGATCACTGACCCCCCTGCGGTCCAACGAAGGTTGGTTTCCTTCCTTTGTTTATTAGATGCAGGCCTAAATCCACGGCCCATTCTTCTATTACCTCCCCCCTCCTATCACCATCCCGGGTTAGACAACGCCGACTTGGCGTTGAAGTCCCCGGCAATGATGACAGAGTTCGGGAGGTACCGTCTCACGGCCCTCCCGATTTCCCGTAGCCTGGACTTGTAGGTTATTAAGTCCAGGCTCTTGCTGGGGGGGAGGTATACCCCGACCACGATAAGAGCCCCCTACCTGACCACGACATATCCCCTCCCCTTACCCAGTTGGGTAGCAGGGGGAGTGGTTGTCTGCCCTCCATGTTATAGCGACGGAGCCCAAGTCGTCCCCGAACCACCTAGGGTTGTTCTTGGGGACGCAGTAGGGCTCCGCCGCTATTCCCAGACCTGCACCACGCTGCGCCATTGTGTGCGTAAAAAGCGGCATTGCTTGACGGGCGTGGTGCAGGTTGGTCTGGAGTAGTCGGGTGGCCATTATTGTCCCACTACGATGACTTTTTCACCCGGCTCCTCCAGACCGTCATCCTCTTCCTCGTCCCTTTTACAGGTCCTCTTTTCCCCTCTCCTCTCCACCTCCATCCTCTCCTCAACCCGTGCGTTAGAGGGGGGAGGATGGTCAGTGGGGGAGTAGGGGGAGGGATGATTTCCTCCTTCTTCTTCTCCTCTTTCTCCTTGCGACTGGAGAGTGTTTCCGCCTCTATTGCTATTGCAGTTTTTGCTGCCGTCCCCGTAGGTGCTGTTTTCGCAGCTTGCTGCTTTCCCTCTCCTGCTTTCTTTCCCTTCCTTTTTCCTCTTTTAGGAGGGTTGCATGCCGGGCGGTCCATGCGGTGGTCCGCTGGTTTCCCTCCAGCCGCACATATTTGGCACCTGGCTTTAGATTTACAATCTCTTGCCAGGTGACCAGTTTCTCCGCATCTATAGCAATTCTTGCTCCTGTCCACGTCGCTCTTGCAGGTCGCTTGCACGTGGCCTTTCTCCAAGCACCTGTAGCATTACAGGGGCTTCGCCTCCAGCATTTCAATTTTAACCTGGGTCCATCCTATGGCTATTGTCCCCCTTTCCGTCGCTCTCTTGGCTGCGACTAGGGGGCACCGGATCCATAGGGATCTGGACCCATTCGGTGCTATAGTGATTTTCCCGGTCTTTACGTTCGCGACTTCACACCCTCCGCCACCTTCTCCGCCACATCTTGCTCTGTGGTGGATAGTTCTAGGCCACATCTTGCTCTGTGGTGGATAGTTCTAGGCCTCTTAGTCTTATTTTCCCCATTTTTTGGGGGCGACTGATCTTTGCCCTATCCTCCACTACCTCCCGTAATTTTTCGGCGAATAAGTCCGCATGTTCTCCTCTTTTTTCTCCAGGGATCTCCAGGATCAACGCTCCAGTGGCTCCCACTCTTGTCTTCATCCTGGAGATCCCCATCTCTTCAATGTCGATTTTGGCCTTTGCCTCCACCAACAGTTCTTTATACTTCCCGTTGTCCGTCGATATTGCTATCGCGGCCGTGTTCGGGACTTTCCTCTTCCTAATTCTCTTCTCCTTTTTCTCCTCCTCCGCCCTTTTACCCGTCCTGATCACAGGTTTCGAAGGCTGGGTTTGGGCTTTTTTCGCCGTTTCTCTCCTCTCTTTCTTCTTCTCCTTCCTTCCCACCACCTTAGCCCAACTTTCCTCAGGCTTGGTGGTATTTGCCCTCTCAGTTTCCCTGTAAGGGAGGAGTGGAAGTTCCTCCTTTCTTATTTTGGAGAGGGGGGAGGTATGGATTTCCGTCCACTCTCCTGCTTTTCCAATACCATTGTATTGACCCCTTTTGCCCCTTGTTTCTTTCTTTTCCTCGGCTGCCTCTGCGGTTTTAGTTGTTCCGCAGTTATAGTGGAGACCTCGTTCTGGCTGTCCCTGCTTTGTGGCGCCATTTGGCTCAACACCTTTGCCACTATTGACACCACTTTCCTTTCCAGGGCCTCAGCCTCTTCCTCTGAATCTTGCTGCTTTTCGATCCTTATTTTTTATCGAATCGAATGTCCTCTTTTATCGTTGGTCCAGATTTCCCGGCTTTAACAACCTCTTTGTATTTTCTTTTGGGGCCTGCTCTCTACAGTTTTGTACTTATAAGTCCCTTCTGGACTTCGATTACCCCTATTGTTGGTTGATCTTCGTCTTCCATGTCCTCGATAGGGGGGGAAATATATCCTTGTGGATCAGGTTCCCTCATTTCCTTCTCCTTTACACGGATCGGAGTTGGGGGTAGTGCCCTTTGAAGAGGTGGGGGAACTGCCGGCGCTGGTGATGGCGCCTCTTTTAATTGGCCGATAACGTTCCTCAGTTCCTCCATCTCTCTTCTCATTTCTCCTTGGGAGGTGCGGAGTCTTTGGTTTTCACTCCGCACCTCCTCTAAAAGCTCTATGCTTCCTCCTCCTTCCGCTACTCTTCTGTTGAGCATAGTAGCTCCCACCGTGATTGTAGCGGCTGCATCTCTTAGGACCTTTATATACGTCCATTTCATATTCCCGGATTTTACGACGATTCCTAATACCTTTTTGGCTGCGTCTATTACTGACGCAGCCAGGTCATTAGTTGGGGCCTCCTCCATGTTCTCCGTTTGCCTGTTTATCTCGGCTCTATATTTACGATTCTTCGTAAGACCGTCAAACGAGATCGACGGATTGTCCGAGGCCTTCAATAGGTTCTCCTCCTTCATTTTGGCTTGGAGCTTCTCCTTCCTCGCCATGTACGCCTTTTTGAGGTCATATTCCCCGGTTGTTTTGGGTCTGCCTCTCCCCCTCAAGGCCTTTTTCGCAAAGGCCTCTTCGTCAGTCTCCCCGTCAGAGTTGTAGGGGATGAACCATTTACTCTGCTTTTTTTCAGGGGACTTCGGTCTTTCAGGGGACTTCGGTCTTTCTGGCGAAGTTGAGACCGGTGTGGACTCTACCCTTTTGTTGGGGGTCCTTGATCTGGACCGTGACGGAAACATATTGTCTATCCTGCCGCTCCTACGCGTTGCAGCACGAGTATTTCTCTTCCTCGTTGCTACGTTGCGAGATGAACTACGGAGTTCGCTCTTATCAGTCATTTGGCTTGTGCCAGGTTGGCTGTTGACAGAGGTTGTTCTCTCCGTTTCCTCCGTATGTGAGCTGGTAGGAGTAACCAACTCTCTTCCCTCCTTATAACTTGCCGGGTCCGTCATAATATCTATGGTGTCCAGATCCTTTTCCATTTCTTTTGTTTGTTTTTTATCTTGCGAGGTCGTCATTTTTGTTTTGAAACCCACCATTCTGCACGGCTCCGGTGCCCGAGCATGCCCGCATCCCACCGGAAGGGGGGAGCCTCCGAGTTCCCCCAGAGGAGCACCATATGGCACGGGCCGACGGAATATTACATCGTCGGCACTGGCCTCCCGCCCCCTACACGCGCACTGACCACCACTTCTTCAGCCAGACCATTTTTTCGGCCAGACCGCTTTCGGGGGTCCCGCACCTCCGACAATGCGGGCACCGTGCAGAGCGGCGCCACGCGGGGGGCCCCATGGAAGGAGGTAGTTCACCGGTGTCGCACCCCACTGGGAACGCCTCCCCCATGGCAGCCAGCGTGCTCACGCCGCCCGAGGGTCCGCTTTAGGGTGATGCGATCGCTTTCCCTCGGGCACAGCACATAGGGGCTCCGGCCCTGCCTCGGAATACGTCCGAACGGCCCAGCGCACCCCTCCACCCCCCGGGTACCGTGAGGGATTCCAAACCCTCATGGTGTGCAGACGCGGGTGTGGGTACCTCCTTCCGCCCGGCCGTGGCCTGGACGGATGAGGGAGAGGATCACCCCTTTTGGCTGCCGGAGCACCGGCGTGCAATGCCTCCGGGAATGAGTCCTCTAGATGGCGCTTGAGGGTGTCCCGACCCAGACCTCGGAATACGTCCGAGCGGCCCGGGACACCCCTCCACCTCCCAGGTACCATGGGGTATCCCTATGGTGTGCAGACCCGGGTGTGGGTTCCTCTGTCCGTCCGGCCGAAGCCGAACGGGTGAGGGAAGTCAGGGAGATCCACCTTCAACGAAGGTGAAGTCCTCTCCCCTCATCACCCAAGGGTGCCCCGACCTCGACCTCGGAATAAGTCCGTGCGGCCCGGGACACCCCTCCACCCCCAGGTACCATGGGAATAATCCCATGGTGTGCAGACCCGGGTGTGGGATCCTCCCTCCGCACAGTCGTGACCGTGACGGATGAGGAAAAGAGGTCCTCTCTCCCTTCGGCTGCCGGAGCACCGGCGTGCAATGTCTCAGAGAGAGGGGTCCTCCTAGGACGCATCGAGGGTATCCCGACCCCGATCTCGGAAACGTCCGAGCGGCTCGGAGTACCCCTCCGTCACCCAGGCCCATGGGGGGAGGATCCCCATGGGGTGGAGTCCTGAGTGCAGGTACGTCCTTCCACCCCGGTCTAACCATAACGGTCCAACCGAGTCAGGAGGAAAGGGTTCTCTCTCTTTGGCTGCCGGAGCACCGGCGTGCAATGCCTCGGAGAGAGAGGTCCCCTTCCTGGAGCGAGTGTAGTGGAGGTCATCCCTGTCGGCTGCCGGAACACCGGCGTGCAATGCCTTCAGGGGTGGTGATCCCCTCTCACCCGCTCTGTGACCATTCTGGTCCAGGACCAATCTGGCACCCAGCCCAGTCGGGTACTTTTGGTCCAGTCCCTCAGTACAGACGACTCCGGCATGGTAGAACCTACCAGGGGCCAAAACCCCCGCCGGCACACCTCTGTACATCATTGGGACCTTCAAGCCTTCCCACTACGTCAAGGTGACCCACGGGGAGGAAAAAAGTGGACTCTTTCTGGTCCCCTTCCCCACCCAATGCCCAGTAACCTGGCACAGTCGTCGGCCATCCACTCCGAAAGGGGCCCCAATGCCCGGCGGCTTTTGCCTGACGGATTAGGTCGCCCGCCACCTGCGGGCTCCCCGTTGCCGACTATCTCCAGCCGTCGAACACCAGGGCACTCCATTTCGGACGGATAACCCCCGACTGTGTGCTCCAGATTTCCCGGACACCGGGTGTTGTGCCCTTGGTTGCATGCTAAATGGTGAGTGGTGAACCTCATCCATCTCGCTCGCAATCCAGGCATCGTAATTGTCATGCCATTTTTAACATGCGCTGGTCGAACTGCTTCCGGTCGCGGTATCGTGTGTCCGCATGCACCCTTTTCAGGGCCGGTCGAGGCGCAGGGGACGCCAGCTGCGGGAGTCTCCCAGCCCTGCAGTAGTGCATACAGGAGGCTTCGTCACCGTCATCGGCGCCACATTGCCGCCCCACACACGCCGGGCCAGCAGGGGCCAGACAGCCTAACCTGGGGGGTCGGAGGTCCTACCCCCGCCCGCCCAGCTCACGCGGTGCGACGCAGCGGCTCCGTCTCTAACGGCGGCATACCTCCACGACCCATACGCCCGTAACAGCCGGCCAGCTCCTTTCCATGGGAGTAAGACTGGGACACCGATGAGTGCATCCCTCAAGTTTCCTCAAGTAATACCCACCCAGTACCCAGAAAAACCCCCCTTCAGAGGCGACCTAAGCTGGTTCATTCGTCACGCTTATCCTCTCCGGCACTGTGACGAAGGTGGCCCTATTCACCGCCGTCACAGCCCCAACCCATCGAGGATAGGCGTCGTCTCCAGCCCCCTCCGGTCCCCACCCCCCCACACACACATTCATTCTGGATGGCTAGCCATCCTACACCAAGGAGGAGCCCGCTCCGTCTCCCGAGAGCACCCTCGCCCCCGCCGCCGAGCGAGCCCCCCAGGCGCCGCGAGACTTCGGCCTAACGGATCAGTGAGTGCAAGCCCACCGTTGCCGACTATCCTCCGCCCCCCGACACCCAAAAGACCCCCACCGACGACAGAACCGGGACCCGCGGGGTCCGCCACGCGCTCCACCGGGTGTTGCCATTCGGCAGTGCTCATGTAGAGGAATTAGACCACATGAACTCTGCCTTGTGGACTTCATACGCTCGGCTGTCTCACTAGACTAACGAGGCCGCCTCCCCGGGTTTGTTCTTTGAGGTTCTTCCTTCCTCCTCGGTGGACTGGGAAACCAGTCTCACGAGTCCGAGCACCCGACCGGTTTGTTCACGAAGTTGCCTCTCCGGTTTGGTCGCCCTGAGGCTTGGCGAGTCCTAAACACCGCCCCGGAACTAACGGGTCCAAACGCCCGACCGGTTTTAATCGGAGTTTTCCTCTCCGGTTTGGTTGCCATGCTGCTACCGAGCCCAAACTCCCGGGTATTTACTTTGGGTTTTCCTTCCCCTCGTTTGGTGTCTGTTAAACAGACTAACAGGCCCAATCGCCCTGGTTTATTATTCGGGGTTCTTCCTCCCCTAGTATCGGCTACCTGGACTGCCAGACACACACGAGCCCGAACGCCCGGTTATTGTCAGATTTGCTCTCTGTTGTGGTTGCCCGAAAGCTGTCGAGCCCACACGCTCGGATTTTTACGTTGGGTTTCCTTCCCCTGGTTCTGTTAGCTGTCTTCTCCAGCGTAACGAGCCCGATCGCCCGGATTTAGCATTGGGGTTCTTTCTCCCCTAATAATAGATTGCTTGCCCACGAAGTCAAACTCTCGAGCTCTCGCCCGGGTTTGATATCGGAGTTTCCAGTCTCCGGAATAGGTTGCATAAGGCTAACGAGCCCACTATCCCGGGTTTTTACAGTGGGTGTCCTTCCCCTCGTCGGGTTGTTTGGCAACCTTCCAAACTAACGAGTCCGATACCCGGGTTTTCGTGGATTTTCCATCCCTCGGTTTTTACATTGGGTTTTTCTTCCCCTTGTTCCGATGTCTTGGAAAAATAGACTCACGGGCCCGATCGCCCGGGTTTATTAGTCAGGGTTCTTCCTTCCCTCTAGTTCAGGTATCTGGACCGCCAGACTCGCGAGCCTGAACGCCCGATTTGGTTCGAAGTTTTCTCTCCGTTTCGGATGTCTGGACCGCCAGACTCACGAGCCCGAACGCCCGGTTTGTGCGGAGTTTTCTCTCCGGTGCTGATGCCCTAAGCTAACGAGCCGCACGCACGGGTTTATTAGTCAGGGTTCTTCCTTCCCTCTAGTTCAGATATCTGGACAGCCAGACTCACGAGCCCGAACGCCCGGTTTGATCGGAGTTTTCTCTCCGTTTCGGATGTCCGGACCGCCAGACTCGCGAGCCCGAACGCCCGGTTTGTGCGGAGTTTTCTCTCCGGTGCAGATGCCTTCAGGCTAACGAGCTGCACACCCGAGTTTGGTATTGGGGTTCTTCCTCCCCTAGCAATAGGTTGCTTGCCCACGAAGTCAAGCTCTCGAGCCCTCGTCCGGGTTTGATAACGGAGTTTCCAATCTCCGGAATAGGTTGTTCAAAGCTGACGAGCCCACTAGCCCGGGTTTTTGCAGTGGGTTTTCCTTCCCCTCGTCGGGTTGTCTGGAAACCTCCCAGACTAACGAGTCCGATACCCGGGTTTTTACAATGGGTTTTCCGTCCCCTCGTTGGGTGCCTGGAAAATAGACTAACAGCCCTCATCGCCACGGGTTTCTATGGGTGTCCTTCCCTTGTTTGATAGCCTCCCAAAGGCGAGGCTAACGAGCCCAAACGCCCGCGCTGCAGGGTTCTTCGTGCCACTCGAGAGCAGCCCCCTAGACCCTTAATGCTTCAAGAGGCAGCTACCCATCTTGAAGCATGTGTTGGTCGCTCTTAGTAGCCACTCTCCTCGGTTAACGCTCGAACTTGGAATCCTGAGATTCCAAGTCGAGTCCATCCCCTTGGATCATTGTAGCCATCAAGCTTCTGCACCACGACAAGGTGGCGACCATCCGCAGAAGAGGTAATTTTCACCTGAGCTTGGCGACGCAACCCAAGGTCAAACTGATAAAGCTAATAAATAGTTTTAAATCTTACAACTTTTATCTACAACATTTTTCTTCTAAAACTTATATTTATTATTTATTATTATTTTTATTTCTTTTTATTTTTTATATTTTTAGCCGGCGGGGGTTTCGGCCCCTGGCAGGTTCTACCATGCCGGAGTGGTCCGTACTGAGGGACTGGACCAGAAGCACCCGACTGGGCTGGGTGACCAGCCTGGTCCTGGACCAGAATGGTCACAGAGCGGGTGAGAGGGGATCACCACCCCTGAAGGCATTGCACGCCGGTGTTCCGGCAGCCGACAGGGATGACCTCCGCTACACTCGCTCCAGGAAGGGGACCTCTCTCTCCGAGGCATTGCACGCCGGTGCTCCGGCAGCCAAAG